GGGGGGTATTCCCAGTGTAAGTCGCAGACGATCTAGTAGTCTAACGTGATATAAGGAAGCTTGGTAGCTCTTGGGCAAAATGAATCAGAGTCTGAGGGATATCTGCACTTTCTTGTGTCAGCCTGTGGGATAGCTCACTATGAGCTGTCCCGTAAACCGTACCGTAAACTTACCTTAAAATGTATCCATGTTTTTGTATCATACTCTAATCCGTCAGTAAGCGTACCGTAGCCTTCGTAAGGATGCTTCACTCGACCTCCTTTTGAAAGAAGGCGCTTACTTGCCCGGGCAGTTCGGTGCGGTATGACCCACTTCCTTGCATCGACGACGCGTCGCTGAATCTTGCCAGGCCCAGCTGACCTTGATACTGCATGGTCGAAACGAAAGCTGGATGGACGAGAAACTCGAAAAAGTAAGTTTCCTTTTTCGAGAGTCTGTCGACAGGTGCGTTAAAGAGATGCAAGACCAAGTAAACGGTGCCAGCATGCTTTTGGACGATCGAAGTTTGCTTGTTAGAGGACTTTAAATTCTTCATTTGCTTACATAGGGCCAGCCAGTAGAGTTAAGACGTGGGTTTTAGCGTGATTGGGCCCCATTACGAGACCCCCCAAACTGAGAATCTCGTAATCTTGGTGCAGATGAATCTCCCTGAGCAAATACAGCCCATTGAGCAACTCTTGATCAAGTATTATGCTAAGTCGTATAATGGGGAGCGTTTTCATGAATTTTAGTGAGTTTAGAAGGCGTAAGTATCTTTCACCGTAGTGACCCCATTTTACCGGTAAGTCAATGTACGAGATCATACTCGAGTATGGCCATGGACTCGTCTTCTGTGTTCGACTCATCCTATGTTGATTCCGTGGTGCACTCTCCAATAAGATTCTTTTTTCAAAGAATCGAGGTTTTATGCGCCGTTCTGGGCGACAACGAAAACCGAGATTACGGTACGAGTACAATCATCATTTTTCGACATTACTACACGTATATGTATGAACGCGAAAAACAAGCTATTGTGTTCTCACCTTATTATGCTTGTACACCGTGTATTCAAGCATTTTTGTTTTTTCTGACAGGAGTAAATGTAAAGCTATTTCGGTCTTCGCCATCTTTCGATCCATGTCATAATTGCTACGGTTAAGTCAGGTGAGGAATTTCTTTCCACGTTGAAGACATTCCTCCAATCGATCATCAGATTTGAATGAATTTATACACGTGTACCTAGCCATGTAGCAGCTCAAAACTACTTTACCGATTCCCTTCATCTCACTTCGAATTTTCCTCTAAGGTGACCAAACTTCTCCCATCTAGAAACAAACGCCCTGTATCAAGAGTAACGACAATGCGCACGACCTACGTTATCCTCGTTGCGGCAGCTTCAATTCTTGCAAGCACCAGCGATGCGTCAGCGGTTAAGGTTCCAAACCAGAATCAGCTCCCAAAAGAGCACCCGATTGACGTTGCTCAAGTCACTGAAGACAAAACAAGCAGATTCTTGAGACGCCGGGAGATCAGCGATGAAAATGAAGAGAGAAGCTCCCTTGGCAAGCTCGCTACCAAATTGGACGATATGGCGACCTTATCGGCTCTCAGAGCTGTGAAGGACAAGGACCTGATCTCAGCATGGCAGCACCTGCAGCAAATTACTTCGTCTTGGAAAAATCGCGAAGCCATCTTGGAATTTATTCAGCTTGACCAGGCTAACCGTAAGAAGGTCCTGAAATTGATTGTCGAGAACGCTGCCAAGACAAAGGGGATTCAGTAGACCCCGTTCCAAGCGCATCGAGGACTCATATCTTTAGTTACGCTTAGACGACGTGTTTTTCTTCTGCGATATTGTACAAATTCGTTCTGCAAACGCTTTGCATGGACATTTTTATTTTTTTCAGAGCTGGCGTACAGATTTTCTTGTGGATAGCATCTAAGATTTCAAGCTTTTTATTTGTGTTTGATGATCCCATATTTTTGGGTTTTAATCGGGGCCCAACCAGGGACGCTGACGGACGTGGGGATGCAGCTATACTGTTTAGCCTGCCAGAATCGGGTAGTAGGTTCTAGAAAAACTAGTATTATTCCCCTTTACAACATTTTACAGGTCCGTTTAAGAGCAGGACAAAAACTTCGTGCTGAAATGAACATCTATACGCTTATGTTCTGTCACATCGTTCTCTTTTCTGAATTTGAGTCTCCACAACTTAGTTGCCAGCATTTCCGCTGGCTACTTCGTAAACGTTATGACTAGTTTTACTTTACTATTATCAATTCTATTACATAGAAACAGGCCTTAGACTTACGAGCAATCTATTAAAAAAAATGCCGATTATATTTGCATTCGCTTGGTGTGAAATTCCCGAATGCACTGTCGAAGCTCGGATCGATTAGTGTGTACAACATTGAATCATCCAAAGCTAGTATACAACGGGCCAGCTCGGATAGGAATGAATTTCGATAGCATGTTGACATATTATCTAGTGTAGCTACAAAATGATCGAATTGTAGCAAATGTAAACGCTAAAGAAAAGGAAAATTTTAGCCTGCATCGCTACAAAACGTTTTGTTACATGTCAAGAATGAAGTAACATTACTAAATGGCGCAACGGATATTGCCTGGCGAGATTACAGAGAGCTTGAGTTTCCTGGATACTGGAATATCGTAAGCGTTGGAATAACAACAATTGGGATAAATCTGAATAAATGATAAATGACGGATACATAACTGTTAGGTATCCACTACTTTGTTGGTATTACGTTTTCCTTTTTTTTCTTGTTTCAAAGCCGAGTTTTTCCAGATTTTAAAATTATATTTAAATAGCCGTTGGATGGCATTCAGACGAAAGAACCCATTAATTTTTTGATGGTTTTTTTTTCTGAATGGCATCCAACGGCCGTCAGCTCCTTTTGGCCTATCATAGTTCGCCCACCTTTCATTTTGATTTTTGCCGCTACCAGAGAAACAAGGCAAGATGAAGTTCTCGTTCGCTCGGATGCAGGCACTCCGAAACACGCACGCACTGATGGAACAACCGAAGGTGCCCGTGTCGATGCCAACGGGCCCAAGAGCCAAGAAAAGCTTTATCGTGGTGTCTTCACGCGACATTGAAATCTACCCGTTAGTGTTTTCGGTGTCCGTTGGCTTGGCGATTGGCGCTTTCAGCCTCGTTCGCCACGTGCTGTTCAACCCTGATGTGAACCTGAATCGTGGTCGTCGCGAAACACCAGCATGGGAGCGCTACAAGCCTGAGGAAGGGGAAGCATTTTCGCGGAATCGTCATCATTTCGCCAATCTCAAGCCGAATCCGGTCAACACGTTTCCGGAGGCTCATAAGCTACAAGAGAGAACCGACGAACCATTCTATAAGCACGAATAAGGAATCACCACACGAAGACGGATAATCTTAGGAAGATGGATGCATGATAAATACGGTTTTACTATTAGCTCCCTCTATGTAGATCATAGATGTGTTAAACTTTACCAAACTGAAGAAAGAGCGTATATAAACTACATTCGTCACCAAACCAGTTGTGGAGCCGCCACCCATTGAAGTAAAATAACTTCCCAAGGAAAAAAAACGAGGGAGAAAAGCGTAAGACAAGGAAGCACAGTAACCGCTGTACAACATGATTCGTCGTACAAATTCCGCCACATTGTGTGTGATAGTTGAGAAGCTCGCTTCGTACGGCTACAACGTTGGTCTTATGTATTTAATCGGCACACCCCGTCGAAATGTTCATATTGCATTGCTTGTTCCACCTCCACCACTCCATCGAGTTGCCTTTTATTTTGTCCAATTCAGTCGTCCTTGCATGCAACATCGTTGTTCATTAACGGCTCCACACCCACCAAAAAAATTCTGTCAATTTTTTTCTCATTTGTTTTGAAAAAAAAACTGGAAGGTTTTGCTAGTTATTTATAACCAATCCCACCGCGTTTGGCTTCTCAAACTGGAAAAGACGTCGGCTTTGGTTTCGGCTTCTTGCGATACACAACGTCTTGTGCCGCTTAATCCTAATGATTCTCATGGTGCCCAAGCTGTTGGGTAGATCGTTCCTAGTAGTAGACTGTGTCCCCATTCCTGATGACGAGCTAGTCATCAGGAATGAATGACTGAACACAGTCTACTGCAAGAAGCAAAAAAATACACAGTGAAAGGAAATATCCCGCTGTGGCAGAATTCTCTTGGTAAAAGGAAGTTGTGACCGGTTTGAGAAAATGCTAACCGTCTTGAAAGAGTAACGAACCACCCAATTCTCAAAAGAAATGCAATTCTCCCTCGAAGATGTCGGCTAAATCCCTGGAAATGATCAAACCCGCATGGCACTCTCATTTCAAAAATTTAAAGCTACCAGCAAGGCAAGATACGTTTTAAATATGAAGGTTTCTCTCGCTCGCATGCAGAAGCTCGTCCATGCACACGGAGTGGTGGGGCAACCTCAGGTACGTGTGCCGGTACCAGCCGGTCCAAGAGCCAAGGAAAACTTCATCATGGTGTCATCGCGTGACCCCGAAATCTACCCACTCGTGTTCTCAGTGTCGGTTGGTGTGGCAATTGGCGCTCTGAGCCTCCTTCGCAACGGACTGTTCAACCCTGACGTGAACCTGAATCGTGGCCGCCGTGAAACGCCAGCATGGGAGCGCTACAAACCAGAGGAAGGGGAAGCCTTCTCGCGGATCCATCACCACTTGGCCAATCTCAAGCCAAATCCAGTCAACACTTTTCCAGAGGCTCGTAAGCTGCATGAGAAGACCGATGAATCTTTCTTCAAGCACCTATAATAAGTCAACACGCAAAGACGATACCCCCGGTGTTTGATTTGTTGTAAGGTTCCTCAGCATTAGGAGAAGCTGGATTTTCATGAAACAAAAATAAAAACTCTCGTTTCGTATTGTGGCTTGTGAATTCAACTTTCCTCTTCATAAAAAAGTTTCTTACGGGAGCTATCATATGTCACCGCTTTAGCGTCTATCCCAATAAACCAGCATACTACGTGTGTGGTTTTACTACCATTTCCATCTAGCTGTCTTTATGTTCCCACTGTACATTTCAACACATTCAGGCACCCTTCATCACAACTTTGTGTGCTGATCTGCAACCGAGTTAGTAGTTAGTGAGGCCAAATAGGTATTAAGCCCGGTGGGGTGCTTTATTCGGAGGAATCCTTTATTAGAGTTCGACTTGGGCGAGGTCAGTAACACACTACAAATAAAAAATCTGTTGTGCAAGTGTGGCGCTAGTGTGCACATAACAAACTACGAATGTGTTGCGTAACCATAGATATTTGTAGACCGTTCAAAGCGAATGCTATTTTGCATTGATCGAAGAATGTTTTCTTTTGAAGATCTCTTGAAAGAGTGGTTAAGTCATGGCCAGTACTTCCAGTAGATAGTAAAATCCAGTACTATAGTACTACTACTGCTACTACATTGATCAGTAAAATACTACTACTGTAGTCAGTAATTTGCGCAAGCACTGACGTAGTACTATTTAGTACTACAAAAATCTAGGGGGATCAGGAATTGCATGCTACTTTGAATTTAGTAGCTTCAGTGAAGGACAAAAATGTGGTTCGTGGTGTCCCAATTGTTGCAACGGCGCCATGCACGTCAGAATCATCAGAATCAAGTGTCAACGGGCAGCATTTTGCGGGTAGTAGCTTGAGTGTGTAGCTCAATGGGTGCCTGTTGATCGGGACCAAGCGATGGATTCGAATCGGACGGAAGATGACAACATCAAGCTGTTTTGCTAGCACGTGGAGGCGCTATGCGGATATATCGGTATCGGTCGCTGATTCCATACATGATTCTGATAGCGTTCTTTTCCCCTTTATCGCAGTCTGGCTGGATAGTAGTTCGTCCTACGTGCTGCAGGAGCGCGTATTTCCATCGTGGATTTTGTCATGAGCTCGATACGCACGAGGACGGACAATGAGCGAGCCGAGATGCAAGTGCTGATGAAGCACAACAGGAGCAACATTTGACAAATGGAGGCTGGTATTGGTGTTGAAGATATCGAGTGCGCAGATGAAGGTTAGAGTATAAGACTGTAATTAATAGTACTGCATTACTGTTACTATAGTAATTCGCAACTTCAAGAGGCGAGTACAGCTACTACAAGTACTTCACGGCGAGGACTTGCCTCGTTATACAAGAAATCACCAAAGATCGCTGTTTTACTGGCAATCCCTGGTCATGGCTCAGATGTCGTCCTGAACGGTGCACACGGGAGACTGGCATCTAATCATTTAGTCCAAGTGTTGACGCTGAATCGTAAACAGAGGAAGGTCTGCACTGTGCCGTGTCGATGTACTGTATGTACTTGCGTACATGATCGGCTGGACGTCGACCACTGGATACTGGCAATACATGTATTGTCACTTGCCAGTACATGCACCGGGTGGCTGTACTGTTGTGAAAACCAGAGAAGCTAAGAATAAGTACGAGCTGTGTTTCTTATATGAGTATACTCTAAGACTTAAGACCCAGGTCCTCATGGGCACAAATGAAGAAGCCTATCGAGTTAATTTGTGTGTTTCATAAGTCGGTCGATTTCTTCGGCGTTCAGTTGCAGCAGCTGTTCCTGCATACCTACATTCATCTACATTTGTATTGTTTGCGTCGGTGCTGTTCGTAATATAGACGATCCCCTCGGTAGTTATCCCTAGGCTTGTAATACTCCCTCAATAGCAATAAATTAGCGGTTCCCGTTGACCAGTCATTTACAAACCCGATATTATTCCCTCTCACCCCTCAATTGTAAATGGAATACATTTGAAGTCAAATATTCCTATTCTGAGGTGCTTAACTATGGGAAAGTCATAACTGCACAAGGGCAACACTGCTGTCACGTCCGATCCGAATGTTGAATGGATGAAGTCTATCTTTTGACCACTTTGGACATGAATCAAGCTTTAGGACCGCGGAAAAGTGTTCTGCCTTCCGTCTAATTGCCTCATCCATGATGGCGACACCCTTCTTGTCGAGTTAATGATGGCGCACCGCGTGCCGCAATTTTGTCTGCAAGACCAGAGGTGACTCCAGCGCTTTTCTGCTCGTTAATAGCTACCAGGCCATTGCCTGTCATGAAACCAGAGGAAGATCGTAGATTCTGTTAGCCCATGAATCTAGCTCTGTTTGGGACGAGTTAGGGATGTTAGCATGGTGCTAGCTTATTTGTACAGCAGTCGTTGAGTGTTGGTGCGTGTGAGGCGGACTGGCTGAGCTTGAGAGGGATTCTTGGTGTGGCGAGGCAAACTGGCAATAGAACGCCAGTAACGAGCTACATCCATTAGTAAATTTGTGCACTGGTTCAAGCTAAAAAAAAACTCGGATCCATTTTGTGGTACATTCATGGATAGGAATACCCTTAGACAGGAAAAATTGAGCGCGATGACTACCGAGGGGATCGTCTGTATGAACTGGGATGCGTACCGGTACGTGGGTGCCTCCCAGCGTTTACCGAGAAAGATTGCGACCATTCTGTGCGCATCCCAAAGCCCGTAATATGTGTTAACATTTATGCAAACACGTATTATGGTTTGGTTTGCACAGTATATTATACATGTACGGTACATGCACATTTATACCATAAATTGTCCCACTACAACAAACGGGCCGTTTACGGAGCCTAATACCATTATGTTCGCAAGTTGTAAATTGCAACAAAGCGAAACGCTATGCGCCCACTGCCACCACCCGTTCTATGTCAGCTTTACTTGAAGTAGTTTATGTATTCTTATAAAGACTTTTGCTTGGTCAGTGATCGGGTAGCTGACTGCGTTAAGCTGAACGATTCGTTCCGGTTTGAGCGGATATTGCTGATGGCCAGCTAGTGGGCCTTGGTCTTTACTGAGTACTACTAAAAAATAGTACTAGACGTAGTACTGAGGACATATACTACTGACAGTGCACGTAGTGTATTCCTTACTCTTCTCCAATCATCCATAAACTGTATTTAATATCCCCAAGATTTTCTGAATCTCTTGAGTTCTTCCGCTCCTTGCTCTTTACTTACTAGCAGCATAAATAGTACTTAGTAGTTGTACTTAAGTACTAGTTATAGAGCATGTATTATAGTGTGTTCCTTGCGCTTCTATAACTACTCGGCACGGTACAATCTTCTGAATCACAGGATTTCTTCGACTCCCAGCATCACCTCCAAATGTTTGCGACGCAACGCATCCTTCTAAGAACTCCAGCGACGAGTGCTCAACCATCACCCACTCGAATCCAAAGACGCAATCAAGCTCCAATTGCGCGATCCTATCGCGTCTAGCGACACCAAAACAAATCGGACGGCGAGTATTATTAATAGTAAGTATTAGTCATGCTGTGCTATCGCCACATTGTCTCCTCGTCACATATTCATGTCGGCAGGTAGGATCAATTAAATGCTCAAGGTATATTAAATTTAGTACTCATATATAAGAAAAAGGTGCACAAATCACAATATAGATGTATTAGATGTACAAGTAAAATAGCATAATACAGTTTTATAATTCAGAGCTGAATTGAACTGAACGCATTCGATTCAGAACAATACGACATCATGCTTTATCGGTATCACGCGAAGCACAAAAGCGAAACAAGTGTGTTGGACTCTCTAAACGGGAAGTTACTACCCTCTCGTTCCGGTGGCTGGAGGCTAGCGCATCTGACGGCGCCATCCGATGTTGACGCTCATGAATAGCTTGCTTGTGACGCCGGCACAACGCTCCAACTTGCTGTTCGATGTATGAATGGAGATCGCTCACTCTTCAATCTTCCAAGCGGCGTATCCTCCCACTCAACAAAATTTATCAAGAGTGACCATGCGCCTGCACAGTGTTCTGATGATAATTGCTGCGACTCTTGCTATCGTAAACGGCGGTGTGTCTGCAGCAGAAAGCACCAACCTCCGTAACTTGGAAGCAACAACTCCGGTCAGCTCCATCAATACCGTCCAGACACAAACCAGAAGCAAGCGAATGCTTCGCGGTGATGACACGGCTATCGGCGAGAATGGACACGGCGACAACTACCCAGCCAAGAAAAGGAAGAGAAAACCGTTTATCGAGGTCAGACTCAAAAAGGCCTTGTCAAACCCGAAGACAGTCAACCGATTGTACAACCAATGGTACAAGGCTGGATATTCCGCGAAGCGAGTTGCAAAGGAACTGAAGCCGGGCAGAAAGAGAGAGCTTGACGAGGTCTATCGGAATCTTGCCCAGGGTTACGCGGCATTTCTCAAGGGCAAGCAGTCTCAGCAGCAGGTGCTGTGAGAACTGAATTGACTTTGAAGTTATAGTTTTGAACAGAGGTTACCCACCGGAAGGTAACTCGACGTGTGAGTGCGGATTAAAAGGAATAACATTATTTTCAATTGAATGTATTGGTGCCGTAAGCCAAAAGAGTCCGAATCACATTAAGAGAGAGCCATACTGCTCGATGTCTTGTGGTTTTTTTTTAGCTGTTTAAGGTGCTTCTGGAGATAACCGTTTTGGCTGAGTGGTGTGAATCTTTGACCTGGTAACGTTTGCAGCCCCCACTATCGTCTCAGGAGCACCAAATGATATCGTGCTGGGAGCCAAAAACACGTGAAGGGAATAGCGATGTTAACGTAACTTAAAGTTGAAGGTGATAGAACCAATTTACGGGTTTGCCTGCGATTCAATTGAAAGCAACGCACTTTTCGAACTCAACTTGGTGTGAGAAAAGTATTTACACGTCGGATTGCACAAGTTGTCCGCAGTTCTGCATTGTATCCCAGTTTGCTCGCTCCATGACTCGCTGGGACTATTTACGGCCTTCTGATAAATTGGTCACTTATATTCATTACAGTTTGCGTCAACACCGCGTGCACACGCACCGTAGTACGGTATTAATTACCGTATACTGAAAGCTCAAAAACAACGATTTAACGGCGCGTGGGATGTATACGGAACTGTACATGTATACAGTCTCGTGTCTGCTTTTGAGGCGACTCTTTTTTCGCCCTTAAAAAAGTTTAATTCAAAATGGGTCTAGCGTTTAGGTAACGTATTGCCTTTGAGCACTATTGGGCTACCTTGACCGATCTAATAATTGGAATCCGTCTCTTTTTGTTGGTGTTTTTTAAGCTTAACAGAAGACATAATAGAGAGTGACGCGATTGCATGCAAACAGAAGGCCAGTAGTGAAGCCGCAAACAAGTTCTATTAGTCTGAATATGATTTAGAATGGAGAACTTCCACTCAGCTTGAGTACCTCCCTGTCTTTTTAAGCTAACTGTAGCGGAGGTCATCATATCACCGGAGATCTACTTACATCGACGATATATGTTAGCTACTCAGTCTGACATCTGTTGCGTAAATTTTCCCTACAGTTTAAAACTTCTCCTCAAGATTGAAGTTGCCGTGACTTAAGTGTACAAACGAGAATCTCCTAAATGAACGCCGGTCACAGATGTGGCTTTGTCATCGAAACGTCACTTGTCTTTATGTGTAGATCATAACCCGCATACGTACATTCGGCAAAAAAAAAAAAATAAAGAAAGAAAAGCGGGGGTATTCGCGCTACCAGCTACGTTCTCTTATTGAAAGAGAAGCTCGACACCAGCAAACAGCTATCGAGTAATGAATCTTGTTTTCAGCTGATCAGGTAAAAGTCTCGCAAAATAAAGGTGCCAATGATGTATTCTAGAAAACGCCCTTCAACCAGGAGACGGCTTTCTGCGTCAGTTTGTACTGAGCGAAGTGCGTCGCCGCGAAACTGAACAGTCCCCTCTCCTCATCTCCTGACCCCTGTGCATTCTCCTCCAACTTGCTGAAGTCGTAGATCTGCGATAGGTCGCTTGGAGGCGTGTCGCCCGAGACCTTTTTAAGGCTGCTCTTGTCAATTGTAATCACCATGGTACCAGTGGTATTGTTGTACTTGAACGGCATTTTGTAGGCGAAAATGTCGTTGTTGTCGTTGCCTTCACCCGCTAAGACAGTCGCAGCTAACGAGTCAGGTCCGGTAGTCGCCGTCGTCGAAGTCTTCACTTTGGTACCGCCGTCCGCGGCGACAGAAATGCCGCTACTGCACGCAACAAGAACGACAGAAGTGGCCAACAAGACTTGGGCGACGCGCATCGTCAGGAAACTTGGTTCGATTGTGTTTTCGCCGCTGAAGGAGAGTTGAGAAATGAAGTTGATTCTGGACTTTGTCAAAGAGAATAAGCCAATGTACCTCTGCTGCAGGGACAACGTCGCGCGATCGCGCGAAAATTATGTGCGTGGGAGAAGTTCCGATCTCAAGATGGGGCTGTGTATACAATGCTGTAAACACTCATGAAGAGCAACTGACTTATTACTGGGTGAATGTATGTGTAATACGGTGGAAATCAAAAAATACATCCGCTCTCTCAATGCTAAGATGTTGATTGTGTATTTATTGTTAAAAAAATTAATTACTTAGTAAATGTTATAATGTCTTTGTGATGAATCCTTCGTTAACCTTTAGTATTTACATCGTAAATGTATTGTGATGCAATGCAATTCGTTCAACCAGATCAGTCGTGAATGCACATGAAGGGGAAAAAATAAGTCGTTTGATCGGAAGGTCCTCAAAAAAAGCATAGGAAATTTGTTTCGTCGCATCGCCCTAAGCATTTTCAGCGTCTGAAAGTTTGTGGAGTCCTAGTGGAGTGATTCCCGTAGCTGTTTGATTCATAAACTGCTGTCCTTTTTCAAAATCCAAAACTCATTGACTTCAAATCTGAAGGGGGGTACCCCTCTTCCAGATTTATTCCTTTGAACTTTGAGAAAGTCCATTTTGGACGTCCCAGACTTGCTGCGGGAATCGCTCCAGTACCAAAACAATAAACAACGGTGCTCGCTGTCGAATTCGACAGTCGATTTCATAGGCCTTAGCATGCGAAACTAGAGCTAACGAAGAAGAAGAAAGAAAAAGAAATCACCCACAGAAAGCTGCGAGGCGGCGATGGGGCGTGGTCATTCGCCAAGCCAACTTGCACTCTCAGTTTGAGAAATCGAAGCTAGCGAGGACCAGCAAGAATGAAGGTCTCTCTCGCTCGCATGCAGAAGTTCCTCAATAGACGCGCTGTAGTGGACCAACCTGATATTCCTGTACCGGTGCCAACTGGTCCAAGAGCCAAGAAGAGCTTCATCATGGTGTCATCGGGAGACGTCGAAATCTATCCACTGGTGTTCTGTGTATCGATTGGCTTCGTGATCGGTGCTTTCAGTCTCGCTCGCCACGTGCTGTTCAACCCTGACGTGAACTTGAGTCGTGATCGCCGCGAAACGCCAGCGTGGGAGCGCTACAAGCCTGAGGAAGGGAAAGCTTTCTCACAGAACCGCCACCACTTGGCGAATCTCAAGCCGAACCCGGTCAACACTTTTCCAGAGGCTCTTACGCTTCAAGAGCGAACCGACGAACCTTTCTCCAAGCACCTGTAAGGAAGTGACAGACGGGAAACAAGTCGGAAAACAAAGGTAGTGTAGGAAGAGTGGAGCTAGCTTTATTTTTTTAAGGACTAGCAGTAAGTGACAGTAAATTATTCATCCTCCCTAAGCAGCTGCATCCATATCCTGGTTAGTACACCCCTCTGTACAGTTGCGTGATAGGCTCTTCAACATACTCAACCTGCCACGACCAGCAGCTCCATCGCTTCAGTAGACATCCAACGAATATGTAGCCATTTGACAACATTGAGGTAGCCATGTCGAGCTGCAGCATACGTTGCATACCACCGTAGGTATCTTTAGATCGTGTGCAGAGGTACTTGGAAACTATCGGGTTGTTATCTACAGTGGAGTGGGTCGTATCTTGCTACTCATTGTCGTTAACCAGCACCTCGGAACCGTCCTAGAAATAATTGTATATAAGCCCATAATATACGAGAAAAGGATGCTAATAAAAAAAAAAATCCTTACCTGCATTCCATAGTAGCTCACCTCAGCATTGTCGTCGTCTAGCAACATCGGCATACTCTACACAAAGCAATAACAACAACAAAAGAGTCGGCGTCAAAATATAAAAAACAATAATAATAAACATAGAAATATATACTCACTCTGGAGTCGGTACGGAAGGAAAGCACCTGTGCAGGAACCTGGACGCCAAATTTCGTCTCGATGAGAAGCTTCAGCTGCGAGACCTTCATCTGCTGAGGGATTTTCTTGACCAACGGGTCGAATGAAGTTGCTTGCATTGACATGGGGATGATACTGACTTTAAGAAGACTCGACGCCAGCTTCCGTGGACCAGCCGTAGACCCACTACCAGCAGTGTTACCACTTTGGTCGATGGAGATCTCGGGATACAACTCACGTAAGCGAGTGAAGCGCGGATGTGCTGCTAGCACACGCTCGTGCTCAGTCTTATCGTCACCAATGACAGCCAGTTCGTGCAGGATACGCTTGAGATAGAGTTGTTCGGCTTCCTTGCGCTCTTTCTCGCGGACTGGACTTGCGTTGAAGACTGCGATGTGGTCTGTACGTGCAACGACCAGCATCCGCGTCTCCCCCAGACTCATCTGCGTCGTCAGTGGGTTCTTTGAGAAGCGTAATGTATCCATCAGAGGGAAAGTGTTCAGCGCATCAATTGAAGTCCACGAGTCGATCAAATTCTCGCTCAACGACAGAGTTTTTAAGCTTTTGGAACGCAATAGGCTTCGCGTCAGTAACGAGCGTCACGATTCGATTTCCATTCAAGAAAAGCTGACTCAAATTCACGAACATGCCGCCAATAATTTCCAGCACTTTGGTCCAGGATTTCAAGCGGTTGAGACTTAAATCCAGCACCGAAAGCGTCTCCACCCAACCTCCAGTTGTTTTAAACTCCGTCAGTTGGTCGTCTTCGTACTCATTGTCCACTAAGTGCAGCTGTTCGAGCTTCGGGAAGTGGCGAGTGATGATCGTCCCCGTATTTCTCCATGATAATAACGTTTGATTCAGTACGAGCACCTTTAAATTCTCGAAATTTTCTTCTCCGTTATTGTCATTTTCTTCATCGACTGTGAACCTGTTTCCACTCAAAATTAGCGTCTCCAGTAGCGGCAGTTCGCGGATAATAGCGAGCACGTCACTCCACTTGCTAAAAAGGTTCCTGGACAGATCCAGTTCCGTTAAATGTGGGGCCAATTGGCCCAATCCTTGGCCTCCTAACTCCACAATTTGACAGCCAGAAAGTGAAATTTTCTCGATAGTCTGCAGAGTTTGCTGCGTGCTGAGCTTCTTGGCTCCCACAAACTCAATGGGCTTCTCGCTCCCCAGCGTCGTGCCCACTTCTCCAGCCACCACCACGTCACTTGGAGCTTCTACCTCTGACTTGGAATACATTTCTTCATTAGAATATCTCTCTTGCAGCCTCTGTAGAAGCGAACTTCGTTCTGCTGTCTTGTCAAAAACTGTAGCTTTCGCGAACGAACATTTGTAGCTCACTGAACTTCCGTGTCCTGACAATTTGCGGCCTGGAGGGCCCGAGAAATGCACCACGCGCTCACCACTGGGCAACTCGACGCTGCCGTCGTTCTTGCCGCGGCCCCAGTCGTCCCATTCGATACCATAGTAGAGCGCAGAGGCGTCTTTGGCTGTGACCACGGGCCCGATGTAGCGGATGGTGCCCAGCGAATCGGAGCCGTTATCAACCCGGTCTCCAACCAAAAGAAATTAAGAATGTAATGAAACTCCAAGTTTTACTTCGTACCGGTAGTAGATTTATTTTCCAAACGATGTCTCGGGGGAGCTGACCCAATCCTTGTAATAGCGGCGCTGTCATTCAGTGGATACAGTGATTGGATGCACGCTCGATGAACCACGGCACGCTTGCCGATGGTGTAGAGCCTCGAACACAGAGAGCATGAGCACTTACAGCTGCTGGATGTTCATTAAATGCCATTGGATCGGTGGCACGCGCTCTTTCGCTCGAATCATTCGAGTCGAATGAGTCATCCGAGCGAGAGAATCATATTTTATCGTTCAGTGCTTTGATCTCTCGTGGTTGAAGCCGTTAACTAATGAGCTGTGGCGGTGTAGGTCCCCTCCGGTTTTGTGGTTGCCCACTATTTGTTATTGTATATCTCACATATGTGCAGCTATCGAAAATCAATGCTTGGGGTCGAGTCATCCCTTGCATGATCTGATTACTGCGTCGACGGATGGTATTCATTCACACTCTGGACAATCCGTTAGATGCGTCATGCTGATACAGCGATTAACGACGCTTGAATCCAAGCTCAGCGTCATGGCATCCGCGCTGTCCACCATCCAAGTGACCTGGTTGGACCGAGGCACGCGCGGTTGGTCGCGGCCAGGACAACGGAATCTACAGCGTGGTATGTTTTCATGGCACCGTCCCACTGCCGATCTGTAGACGTGATCCATATTGACGTCGTGATCTCCCTACGTCGACTGGAGCGATGGACTCCTGAACGAAGGTCTCCGTTTCACCAGGAATCGACTGGCGCTGATGGAACGGACCGCTTCATGTCCTGCTACTCGCTGCCTGCCACTTTCGGATTTGCACGGGTGCACCATGAATTTGAATCCGCCAGCGGCAGCAGTTCCAAGGAGCCCTGAGCCGAGCAAGATGGCGTTGGAGTCACCAAATCTCGACTATGAAACAGTGAAGACTCCCGTGGACATCGAAGGGGGAGCGCTAGAGCCCGGAGGTGCCCCGTCCGTCTTCTCCTGGAAGCACATCGGTCTGCTCGCTCACATCGCTTCGGTCGGTGTGGTGTATGGCACGTTGTCAGGCGTTATCTACGCCGTGTTGAACAACTACCTGTACATGTCAGCGGTGCTCACGGCAACCGCTCAAGCTTTGGTCAGGTTGCCTCGAGCGCTGCGCGTGTTCACCGCTATCTTCTCCGATTGCTACCCGATCTTCGGCTACCGGCGTCGTCCGTACCTGATTATGGGCTGGGTGCTTACGTTCGTGTGCTGCTTCTTGATGGCGGTGTTGCCTCTGGGTGATCCGTACTATGGAGACCCAGCACTGGCTGATATTGACGAAGACGAGCTTACCGCAGAGCAGCAGGCAATGATCAACCTCGACGCCCCAGACAAAGGCATCAAGCTCATTATCTTCTTCGTGTTCGCCAATTTGGGCACGGTCATTTCGTTCGGCGCCTCGGACGGCTACATGGTGGAGCTGGCTCGACGCGAACCGGAGGAAATCCGTGGCACGACCCAGTCGTACGTATCGGCTGTGCGTCAGATCTTCATGGTGCTGGCAGCGTTCATGACTGGACTTGGTCTCAATGGTGAAGACTACGGTGGAAATTTCTCGTGGACCATGGGCTTCAACGCCGTCATGGGCGTGTGCGCTGCCTTCTCGTTCGTGACAATCCCGTTGTGCTGGTTCTGCGTCACCGAAGAGAAGGTGCCACGCAAGTCCATGCGCAAGTTCTTCGCCTACCTGTACGACTTGGTGCAGCATCGCGTCATGTACCAAGTGATCGCCTTCCGCTTCTTCCGTCAGATTCTCTCGCTATTCTCTGTGACTGCTGCCAGTCCGATTCAAAGCACGTGGGCGAAAGTTACTCCGCTGAACGAAGGTATCTCGGAGATGATCTCGTGTCTGGTGACGTTCGTGTCGCTGTGGATTGTCCGTCGCTACGGTCTACACTGGAGCTGGAAGGTGGTCGTCGTCGTGTGCCAGTTTGGAGTCGTGTTTGTGGATGCTTTCCCGACCTTCTTCACGATCTGGAATGTGTATCGTAGTCAATGGTTCTGGCTGGGTGTGCCACTACTCGAGGAGTTCCCCAACAGTATCGGCGACTTCATTGCCACACTATTCGTCGTGGAGGTTTGTGACAAGGGCAGTGAGGCCACCATTATGGGCTTGATGATCACCATTTCGGCTCTTGGCACACCTTTCTCCACTGTGCTCTACAAGACCGTGGACAGCTACTTCGAGATCGAGCGCAAGTACATCGTCAAGGACGACCACCACGTCCGCTCTCAAGTGACGTACGCCTACCTCATCGCCTACGCCTGCAACCTCATCTCTGTCATTTTCGTGATCTGGCTTCCTCGTCAAAAGTCGGAAGTCCACGCACTTAAGGCCAAGGGTGGCAAGAGCAAGCTACTAGGAACGCTCACCGTGTGTTACCTCGTGTTCGCCTTCCTCTGGATCATCATGACCAATGTGCTGAGTCTCTTCGACTCCACATCATGTTTGCGCATCGCCGGAGGCTCAGGATGCTAGCTTGATGGACAGCACTTTAGCATTAGAGTTCCAAAGCTACCCTGCTGGAAAAAAAAATCAAGAATCTACAACATTTTCACCTTTATATCTCCGTTAGTCAATCACCGCCCGTTGCAGTTCTTTTGTGGCTTTCAAAGCGACTAATAACAGCAACTTGTAGGAATACAAAGGTGTTTTAGGACCTGTGCGGGTGCAGTACCATCCCAGTACGACTAGAGGACACAGAACCATAGCAGTTTGTGATGTGGACTAGCTGCGTGGTTAGTCCTCAAAACATATTATCCTTATTCGGACAGCTTCTATCTAACGTTGTGTAGTACCCACCTTCCTTCACCAGGCCAAGCTGCGATTCCGCCGTCTAGACGGTGTCTGGAAGAAGAAAGCGCTTTCCGATCTTGCGGTTGTACTCCAAAACTTGTGCACGCACCTTCCGCTTCTCCATGAGTTTGTGGCGAGAACTGGCAAGAAGTACAGCGTTCGGGTTCTCCGGAATGAGGTCAGTGAAGACGCCATACTTCTCCGTCAGAGCACGAATCTTCTTCAAATGTTTTTCCTGCAACTGCAGACCTAGTGCATCTGCATCCTCGAGTGTTGTGAGTGCGCGACGCATCAAGCGCTTCCTCGCGTAATGGTCCACCAACAAGCCGAACGTCACCTCATCCGCCTCCAGATCACCACTCTCAATCTCTGAGCGCACACGCTCCAACAACTGCTCAGCCTGTGTTGTCCGCTTAGCACGCACATACATCTGCATCATGCTACGGTATGTGAACTTGTTGGGCTTGAGTTCGAACTTTGAGAACGTCTCGTTCATGAAGACTTCCGCTGAGCGCAGACGAAGGGCATTGGCGTATACTCCAAGCATCGAGTTTAACGTAGTAAGAGACGGTTTCAGTCCCTTCTCGAAGGTCATCTCATGGAACCGAACCTCAGCACGCTTAATGTTGAGCGTCTGGAACTTGCCAAAGTCCTCCAAGTCCATCGGCGTCAGCTCAAAGTCCAGCGATTCTTCACTGTCAGCAAACAGCTTGTCGTCCTCTTCGCCGTAGACTTCCATACTCCGCTCTGTCTTCATCAAGTCCATCGATTCGGCGTTCTTGAGTTCTTCGTGGCTAGCCTTATCCTGCTGACGTAACGCTTCCACCTGTGCCAAAGCCTCCGGACTGAGCTTGTAACTCTCCCTTTCGTCTAGCTCTTCCTCCTCATCGCCATCCTCATCAAAGCGTCCGTCATAGTTGGCATTCTGCAGCGAGAACGTCTCTTTGCCAGGGCGTGTCAAGTCAATTTCCTTACCTTCGTCGTCCCATTCGAGCGGCTCCTGATAAATCGGCTCAGCTTTGGCCAATGGCTTCTGATTGCGTGGAGCCTTGTCCACAATATCCCTAAATTGTGCGCGTGCGTACACGTTGAACAGCGTGTTGTACACGAACTCCGTCATAGGAACATGGTGACGTTCCATGTGGCGAACGATCTGTTCCGCCTGGATAAAGTCTCCGTGCTTGGCGCACGCGTGAAGTACCGTCGTGTATGAGTACAGATCGGGCGTGTAGTCGTACAGTTCTTGCATCTCATAGTAAAAGTCAACAGCCTTGTGCGCGTAATAGTGCGACTTGGCACATGCGTTCATCAGCGTATTATACGTCACGAGCGACGGTGTCAGGCCGCATTCGAGCAGGTCTTCCAGCAAGTTCAACGCGCGCTCTACACGTCCCTCGCGAGCAAACCCATTGATCAAGCAAGTGAACGCCACCTCGTCCGGCTCAGCCACGTGGGTCCGCATCAAGTGGAAGGTCTCGAAAGCCTTGTCAAGGTCTCCCTCAGCGATCGCAGAGTTCATTAAGATCGTGAATGACGCGCGGTCGGGTACCAGTCCAGCCACCTGCATCTTCTCCATGACATTGTACGCCCAGGACACACGCCCCGCCTTGGAGCACGCGCGCATGACAGCGTTATACACGGCCACACTAGGCTTCACTCCGCGCTCCTTCATGCGTCCAATCACACGCACAGCATGCGCCGCCTGCCCGTTCTCACCCAACGCCGTAGCGTACAACATGTACGACTTGGCGTCCGGCGACACCACGTGCGGCACGCTCTCCAGCGCGTCCATCAGCTCCAGCTCCGTGCTGTCCGCGGGCTTGACGGGCACTACAGTGTTCTCCGCCGCGATGGGCTCAAGATTCTTCTCCATCCTGGTCAACAAGGCATTGGCTTCCTTGTGCAAGCCTTTGACCGCATACACTCTGAGCAGGAAGTTGTAGTCGTTGACCCCCAGTTCGTGTTGCACTAGCCCATCCCCTTCAACTTCAACATTGTCGCCCGTAACTGCTCGTTGTGTCTCATCAACTTCCTTCATGATGTCCGGGTCGGCTCGAGCGATGGAGTTGAGTTTATTGAGTGCGTCCACGTGGTCAACGTCCTCGAGACTCGGTTCAGGCTCGTAGATGTAGTCGCCCAGTGGGCCTGACGTGTTCAGGTACTCGAATACATCGTCCAACTCGCGGTTGAGCTCTTCGTTGCGCTCCAGTGCCGCCCACTCCTTGGCGTTACGCTCGTTCGCGCGCTGTGCGCTCTTAAGATCACGCATGCGCTCCAGGTGCGTGCGGTGTGGTGCTGTGTCCTTCTTGAGCTTCTGCTTGGTGCTGAGTGCGTTGTGACTTTTGTTGCCCTTGCTGCGGTTCCAGCTCGATGTTTTAACGACAAAGGCCGAGGCACCGCCCTTGCGCTTCAGTAGCGCGCGGCTCTGCGAGATCTCGCGCGACTGTGAAGCCGCTGGATGTGCCGAGAGAGCGCCATTAAGGTGCGACGCAGCAGCAGGCGTCAGCGACGCGGCGAGAGGGCGGCGGGTCGCGACGCGAAGCAGTGCGGACATCATAGCTTCCAAGTGTGGAATGGATTGTAGTGTTTGGTGGAGAGCGATTGGCTGCAGACACCGAGCGATACTGTGTGTACATCAACTTGGACGGAATGTGATGAGCGAGCCTGTACCGTTAAACAAGTGCTAAGTACGAGTAACTTCAACTTGTTGGTCGAGTCTTTGGGCAAGACAGCAAGTCATAAATTGGCCTGCTCGTTGCTGTGCTTCCTGTACACCAAGCGAACACGTTCAAAAGGATCAAGTCGTCGCACACAGAGAGAGAGCGTACACTAAATAGATGCTATTCTTGCTGAATGTGCAGAGGTGAGACTGTGGTTTAGAAGTTTGGATTCGATAATTGGAAACTAGGTTCCTGAAATTTACCCCCGAATGTCTGGATTGGGGCCTACTTTTTTCATCGATCTGACAATGTGAACTGGCTTGCTCTGTATGCTTGCTTTGAAAGCAGATAGTATTCATGCAGATAGAGCTTTTTTTCTTTGAGTTCGTGAGATTTAAGCCCGCACAAGTTTCTTTGTTACAGTGTATCAGTACAACAATGACCCAAGGACGGACGGAAATTACATCATTTTCGCACCAGTCAGTACGGACGCCAACTTTGGCTAACTAAACGAACGGTGGCCACTGACAGCATGTGTCTACGTTGTTCTAAAATGCAGTCCAAATATCTAGCACCAGGTTCTGCTACCAATCGCGTGGAGATTCATTCGTGCTTGCCTCCATTGTGTGTGATAACCGTGCTGTAGTAACTGCTACTTTGGCAATGTCCGGGAAAGTGGAGTGTGCTGTTCCTGTGTTTACCTTTGTTATTACCAACGACTTGAGATATGATCCTCGTCCTCTAAAAATCTCTGCAGAGTGGCGGGTTGCATCGCGCATATTCTTAACCGTCTTGTTATCGCGACTATTGTTGCGACTATTGTTGCGAGTTTTGTGTCGAACATTGAGAATGATGCAGCTTACCATGAGTACTCGGTGACAAATAGCCTGCGGGAATTCCCACGACACACCAGTATCATTCTCGATCATGGCAAAAGGGAATTCATGGAATACAAGAAGCAAGTAAATAAAAAATTCCAGTTTTCGTTCAGTATACACCGTTCGAAAGCCAAGTGAGAGAGAGAGATAGAAAAAGCGAAATGCGAGCACGAAAACTAGCGCGACTGATTCGAGCACGTTGCCAAATACTCGGAAACCTTCGCCCGTTATCATTCCAGCAGCATCCAGTATGCAAATGAACACATTAAGCCAGCTTAAGATGACAAACCCCTCAGCAACGTAGGTGAACCAGACTATAGAGCGGACTTTCACTTTGACACTGACAGCGCGACCTATCATGGTAATCTGAAGGACGAATGTCAGCTGCAGACTCGTCTCGGAAATGTCATTCATTGCCGTCAGCATATTGAGATCTTCGTGGAAGTATAACTGCGTGGCGAACACAAGAAATGACGCCACCAGCAGCATACCTACGCGAATTTCGCGTCTTCTCTCGTAGTACACCGACACGAGGTATTGGAAAACCCAGGAATCCAGCACTAGAACAATGGGGAGGAATATCGTCCGTGATAAGGTGTCCATTTGGTCTTGTGTTATTGTCATAGCTTGTTTACTATGTTGAATTGGAATCCGTGAAAGCGTTGTGGACGCCTGCTACATAGCGAACCGAGAACGAAGACGTCGGAACGCAATCACTTCCACGAATAGCAGGATGCCCAAAAGCAGCCCGGAAATAGCGAGCTCAACGACGCTGAGGGCTAGTGAAAGCTTTGTTTTCCTCCTGACCAGTGGCCATGATCTTATGTCGATTATGCTGAAAAGTCAAAATGGTCAGGTCATTCTGCTGAAATTGAGAGAAACCCCGACATTCTGTACCTAGCAGTACAGCAGGTTATCTACGTTTGAAAGCAAGTGAGCCTCTGCATCGATTGTAATGGCGATGGTAAAACACACCAGCCCATGACATTTTCAACGACTAAGGTTCAAAATCCCACCTGACACTCATGTAAACTCTATAGCTTGGGAACGACTTCGAGACCTGTTGCGCTTCATCCTGCCAAACAGCGAAGGCCGTATGGACGCTGCCCCCCTGACGTATTTTCAGCAAAGCTGACGAATAAACTTTGCATTATGAATATTTCACGAAGACGTGGCCCCTGCTGATCAAGACTGCGTTTCATGAATCGGAGTGCCCGCACAATGCCTCGATGGTCCCACCTCGTCAAGCAAATCGTGCCTCGGCCCGCTTCAACGAAGGTCATTGCATTCAACCTCACTTCAAAATTTTCGAGTTAAAAGGACGTGTACATGTGCATACTGTGGCTTCCAGGCAGGAAACTGGAAGATCCTGCAGCCACTCTACACCGATCACGTGAAAGCGCGAAAAAGCGCAGCGCTTCTCCTTGATCGTCGAGCTTTTGCCTTGAAACGGGGCATTGGCTAGCTTGTTCGATCAACGTTCACGTACGTCGGTCATCGCCGAAGGTTCACATCAAGCCTAGTGACCCCATCGAAATGGCCAAAAACCTCTTCCGGGCGTTGAATCGTGGTCCGACAACGACTAGAGCATCGATTTGACGCGTTTGGTGTTCGATCTTCATAGTTGCATGGATCGTCGACTGGCTCCTCGCGTTGAAGCGAGGAGCCAGTCGGCGATTCATGAGTGACCCCATCTCGAGATTCCTTAGATAGAGTGGACAGCGATTGGACCCATCTTGTCGTTCAGTCGCTTAGGTTTTACAGTACTTTTCTCAATACGATACACTCTATCTTCACATACCTTTCATATCTGTTAGTAACAACACGGAAGTGCAAATTTAGTCAACCTATAAAAATGTATCCCTTTCCAAATAGCTTTTTACAATTCCAGAAAGATATTTTGGATAGTACTGTGGTTTTGGGATCACTTTGGGTCAATTGGGTAACGCCAGGCGGAGGCGTGTGCAGCGTTACAGCACCCCGCTGGTCGTACAGTTTTTGCTACTTCCACCGCCCCGGCTCGAGCTTTGCCTTTGTAGAAGCTTGAGCTTTCCGTGACGAAGATGATGTCCATGTACGTGTGCTGTACAGCTCGGTGCGGTGGAATGGCGGCTTTGCAGGGCCCGGGGAGTGCGGACTCTGGCTCTGCTTCCGACTCGACACTTTTGCTTTCTCAGAGTTTAGCGCACCACGGATACTTGTTGTTCGTGGCTTAGTGCCGGAAGAGCGAGATGTGGGCCACCAGTAGCATGATCAGTGAAAGCGGCTGCAGCGAGAGCTCTCGAGGGGTACGTCTCGAGTGCGATCCCAAGCAGCGACGACTAACTATTACGGGAGGAACGGACGACACGGATAATTCAGGCTGGAACGTTCAGCTGTCAGACCAGGAGATCGTCTCGGATCTATTAGCGACGCTCCCCAAGCTCAAAGCAGCGGTCGAGGACCACGAGAACAGAGCCCCGAATTGGCTACGTAAGTCCAAAAGCGGAGATGCAGTGGAGATCTTTGAGTTGCTGCCTACGCGAGATGGCAAAGGCGACGACATGGATATCGTGCATTCCGTGGTGGCGACGATCGAGATCGAGTGTCATTTGAACGAGGTGCTGAATGTACTGACGAGTCACAAGACTAACCACGACTTGGAGGCCTCGATGCGAGCAATTATCCCTAAGAAGAAGGTTCGACAGGGCGAGGTCTTGCTACAGCCGCATGCTACGACGCTCGATGGTGCACCGATCAGACGACCAAGACTTACGCAGAAATCGTCAAGAGGAGGAAAGACCGTTAGATTCGACAACACTAGTATTCCAGAGGATGAAGAAGAGGAGGACACGGAGCGCAAAGTGCTGGTCAGTGTCAGCATGACGCGTTTCAAGTCGAAGCGACGGATCGACGTGCGAGGTCGACTGCGCAACCGCCATCAACGTCTGCAAAAGCTTTGTCTTGCTACTCTGACGCATCAGTTTGTGGGCAAACAAAGAGCTGTGCATGTGATCAAGACGCTGCCTCGATCGGTGCACGACCAACTCGCTCCTATTGAAGAAAAGCACCAAAGTCGATCAGTTTTGGGCAGCGGTCTGCGCGGACTGGACCACATTTCTGTGGGCTTCGACATCCAGACTAGGAATGTTCACTGCATTGGAGCTCGAGGCGCAGCGCAGTCGACCCGGATTATCGCTCATGGATACGCCTCCGTGACGCCCCCGGACCAGTTCGGTCAGCAACAGCAAAGAACGATGACGTCGTACAGTCCTTCGGAACTGGCAAACTACCGTTCTTCCCATGTGAACGCTGAAGCCAAACACGTGATTGAGTTATTGACGACTTCTTTGATGCAATTCGAACGCGTGATTCGGCGTCGACGACTTGGACTGCAGACGTTTATCAAGATCAAGTCTGGAGATCGAGGGAGCGATCGTCAGAGTTTTCAGACCTGTGAGGTCTGTAATAACCGGTTCTCTCTGCTGCGACGTGAATTCCATTGCCAGTTATGCGGCCATGTGTGTTGTGGAGACTGTTCCAAGCTGTATGAGGTGGAAGCTAATGTTGGAGAAGTGACTAAGAAGCGGCTGTGTGTGCGTTGTATCACGAACGTGGACTCGTGCATCTTCGAGGACGAGGACTTTATGGCGGCTCTTGGTCCAGCGGTGATTGACGACTATGACGACGACGAAGAGTTCGATGAAGAATACGAGAGCGAGTGTGAGTACGATCGCCGGGACGAGAACGATACATACGCGAGTGTTGGTTCCACTGTGGCTTGCTCCGAGTTCGATAGCAACGGCAGTCCTGACGATGTTTCATCCGATCTTTATCCCGAAAATGTATTGGAACGCTCAAGAGCTTTACAGACGCTGGATCGGTTGGTGAACTCACAGATCAAAGTACCGGGAAAGCAGACTTTATTCGAGCGATCTCGACTCACGCAGTCACAGCTTTACCAGTCCAACTTAAGTCAAAGCCAGCTCAGTCAGTCGCAGTCTCAGGTGAATTTCAAGCACCCTCTGGCTCAGAGTCAGCTCAGTATGTCCCAGTTCCAGCAGTCTCAAAGTCAATTTAACCAGTCGCAAACCCAGTTCAGAGATACAAGGGATACTCAGCTCACGCAAAGCCAACTTAGCCAGTCCCAGACTCGATTCAGAGATACGAGAGATACTCAGCTAACACAGAGCCAACTCAGCCACTCGCAACCTGGATCCTCGAGGGACACCCAGCTCACTCAAAGCCAGCTCGGTCAGTCCCAGTCTCGAATCAGGGACACTCAGCTTACCCAGAGTCAACTCAGTCAATCGCAGACTCACTTCCAGGACACTCAGCTCACGCAAAGCCAGCTCAGTCAGTCCCAGACGCAGTTTAACGACACGCAACTCACGCAGAGTCAATTGACCCAGCCAAGGTTCCAGTTCCAGGAGTCTCAGCTCACACAGAGTCAACTGAGTCAGAGCCAGTCCCAGTTCAAGCAGAGTAGGTTCAGACAGGCTCAATTCGACGAGTCCATCGTAGCACAGCTTCGAGTAGACGTCGAGGATCATCTGAAGCGAACGCTACGAGCCACTCTCCGAGACACGAGAAGGAATCTTGCAGGTGGCGATGAGTCTCAGTTTTCTATCGCTCCTCTTGAACGCGACTACCAACTCGAGTTCGATGGCAGTCAGACGATGTCTCCGTCCCATCCGTTGCCACCCAAGCCACTGCCAGCTCAAGAGCGACGACGACTGCAATATGTTATCAGTTCCGGTGCATTGAGCCCGACATACGACCGCAGTGCACTCAATATGCTGGGCCAGGTAGCCGCTGCTCATTTGAATTGCCCTATTGGATACGTGACGATGATCGACCAGTCCACACAGTACGTTGTTGGTTTACATCCTCGCGGTGCTATCGGAATGTCAATTCCTCGTGAGGAATCCATGTGCTCGTACACAATCTACCACGAACGTCCACTGGTAGTCAAGAACGCGCTGAATGACATTCGCTTCAGCCACATGGGCTTCGTGAGCCAAACGGGGCTTCGGTTCTACGCTGGATTCCCCATCCGAGCACCCGATAGTGCAGTGGTGGCTACCATTTGTGCAGCCGACTATAAGCCACACAAGTACATCTCCGCCAAGCAGTACGCCGAAATGGAGGCGTTAGCAGAATTGGCAAGCACGCTCATTATCACTCCCGACATCGAGATCAAGACGGCCAAGCGTGATGCACACGCATTCCCACGTTTTTGAAGCTAGTTAGACAGGCATCGTTGTTGAGGAGTGTGTGACGTATCAATATCTCAATATCTAAATAAGATTTTTGTTTTGCAATTAATACAACTTATTGTTTGCGAAATGAATGTCATTTATTTTAGAACAATAAATACTGCAAAGCCACATTTACAATTATTGATTGATTTTTTTCCCAGCGATTTCTGCAATTATTGATTAAGCTGTTTAAATGAATAATAGGGCAATATTCAAAACAATTTAAATATATTTTAAAATAAATTCGAATTCAAAAAAATTAAAATCAACATTAATACCGGTAATCGTTTTTTTTGCGTGCAAAACACAAAAAATTGGAACCGACCAGAATTAGGATATTGTGTTATGAATATTATCTGGCAGAACCAAAATCCATTTCTGCATTATTTCAGATAGGAAAAACAAAATGGCTATGTCTCCTCTCGTGGTTGGAGACCGGGTTGATGACGGCTCCGGTTCGCTGGGCACCATCCGCTACATCGGGCCCGTGGCCACAGCCAAAGACGCCTCTGCGCTCTACTATGGTATCGAATGGGACGACTGGGGCCGCGGCAAGAACGACGGCAGCGTCGAGTTGCCCAGTGGTGAGCGCGTGGTGCATTTCTCGGGCCCTCCAGGCCGCAAATTGTCAGGACACGGAAGTCCAGTGAGCTACAAATGTTCGTTCGCGAAAGCTACAGTTTTTGACAAGACAGCAGAACGAAGTTCACTTCTACAGAGGCTGCAAGAGAGATATTCTAATGAAGAAATGTATTCCAAGTCAGAGGTAGAAGCTCCAAGTGACGTGGTGGTGGCTGGAGAAGTGGGCACGACGCTGGGGAGCGAGAAGCCCATTGAGTTTGTGGGAGCCAAGAAGCTCAGCACGCAGCAAACTCTGCAGACTATCGAGAAAATTTCACTTTCTGGCTGTCAAATTGTGGAGTTAGGAGGTCAAGGATTGGGCCAATTGGCCCCACATTTAACGGAACTGGATCTGTCCAGGAACCTTTTTAGCAAGTGGAGTGACGTGCTCGCTATTATCCGCGAACTGCCGCTACTGGAGACGCTAATTTTGAGTGGAAACAGGTTCACAGTCGATGAAGAAAATGACAATAACGGAGAAGAAAATTTCGAGAATTTAAAGGTGCTCGTACTGAATCAAACGTTATTATCATGGAGAAATACGGGGACGATCATCACTCGCCACTTCCCGAAGCTCGAACAGCTGCACTTAGTGGACAATGAGTACGAAGACGACCAACTGACGGAGTTTAAAACAACTGGAGGTTGGGTGGAGACGCTTTCGGTGCTGGATTTAAGTCTCAACCGCTTGAAATCCTGGACCAAAGTGCTGGAAATTATTGGCGGCATGTTCGTGAATTTGAGTCAGCTTTTCTTGAATGGAAATCGAATCGTGACGCTCGTTACTGACGCGAAGCCTATTGCGTTCCAAAAGCTAAAAACTCTGTCGTTGAGCGAGAATTTGATCGACTCGTGGACTTCAATTGATGCGCTGAACGCTTTCCCTCTGATGGATACATTACGCTTCTCGAAGAACCCACTGACGACGCAGATGAGTCTGGGGGAGACGCGGATGCTGGTCGTTGCACGTACAGACCACATCGCAGTCTTCAACGCAAGTCCAGTCCGCGAGAAAGAGCGCAAGGAAGCCGAACAACTCTATCTCAAGCGTATCCTGCACGAACTGGCTGTCATTGGTGACGATAAGACTGAGCACGAGCGTGTGCTAGCAGCACATCCGCGCTTCACTCGCTTACGTGAGTTGTATCCCGAGATCTCCATCGACCAAAGTGGTAACACTGCTGGTAGTGGGTCTACGGCTGGTCCACGGAAGCTGGCGTCGAGTCTTCTTAAAGTCAGTATCATCCCCATGTCAATGCAAGCAACTTCATTCGACCCGTTGGTCAAGAAAATCCCTCAGCAGATGAAGGTCTCGCAGCTGAAGCTTCTCATCGAGACGAAATTTGGCGTCCAGGTTCCTGCACAGGTGCTTTCCTTCCGTACCGACTCCAGAGTGAGTATATATTTCTATGTTTATTATTATTGTTTTTTATATTTTGACGCCGACTCTTTTGTTGTTGTTATTGCTTTGTGTAGAGTATGCCGATGTTGCTAGACGACGACAATGCTGAGGTGAGCTACTATGGAATGCAGGTAAGGATTTTTTTTTTTATTAGCATCCTTTTCTCGTATATTATGGGCTTATATACAATTATTTCTAGGACGGTTCCGAGGTGCTGGTTAACGACAATGAGTAGCAAGATACGACCCACTCCACTGTAGATAACAACCCGATAGTTTCCAAGTACCTCTGCACACGATCTAAAGATACCTACGGTGGTATGCAACGTATGCTGCAGCTCGACATGGCTACCTCAATGTTGTCAAATGGCTACATATTCGTTGGATGTCTACTGAAGCGATGGAGCTGCTGGTCGTGGCAGGTTGAGTATGTTGAAGAGCCTATCACGCAACTGTACAGAGGGGTGTACTAACCAGGATATGGATGCAGCTGCTTAGGGAGGATGAATAATTTACTGTCACTTACTGCTAGTCCTTAAAAAAATAAAGCTAGCTCCACTCTTCCTACACTACC